AGGTTGGATATTAGGAAAAACGTTTTCACTAAGACGATGGTGAAACATTGGAATGCGTTACCTAGGGAGGTGGTGGAATCTCCTTCCTTAGAAGTTTTTAAGGTCAGGCTTGACAAAGCCCTGGCTGGGATGATTTAATTGGGGATTGGTCCTGCTTTGAGCAGGGGGTTGGACTAGATGACCTCTTGAGGTCCCTTCCAACCCTGATATTCTATGTTTCTATGATTCTATGATTTCACCCTAACAGTGAAGCTGGAAGCTTTATTCTCACTTTCTTACCTATGTCCTGGGGGTATCAGACATGGCATCTCATAATTGATTCCCTCAGCACACTCACACCACCTGCTGCTCCCCCCACCCTCCACTGACTCTGTCTGGGGGCAGGAAGCTGTCCTCTTGAGGGGGGTGGTTCAGCAGGGGTGGGAGATGAGAGGTGGGGGTGCTGAGAGCCAATGAATCACACTTTAAACCCTGTATATGATAGGAAGCACTTAAATCCAGGGGCTGCAGCACCGATGGGTGGGGTGGGGAGGGGTATGGGGAGGCTCCTGTGGGGAGTGTGGTGGTCGCAGGGAGGGGATGATTTAGTTGGGGTTGGTCCTGCTTTGAGCAGGGGGTTGGACTAGATACTTCCTGAGGTCCCTTCCAACCCTGATATTCTATGATTCTGTGACAGTCTGAGACCTTGTTCTTAGGCTAAGGCCTTTGGCTAAGCAGCAGGGGTAGCCATAAGCTGGGAAGAGAATGGTCATGTCCTCCAATCCCAAACCAGTCACATTGAAATAAGGGTGTATTGGGCTGTTAGGAAGACAATCCTGTCCTGATAGTGCCCATCACCACCACATCAAGATGGTTAAAGAAAACTTAGTTTGACAGCATCCTGTCTGGCAAGAAATAACTTCTCAGTGGTTGTTGTTATGAAACCCTCATTTCTGCATGTTTTATCTTTATGGCCCCCACTTTTCTATTGTTAATCTGTCTGGTTCTCTAATTGTTTCTGTCTGCTGTATAATTAATTTTGCTCGGTGTAAATTAATTAGGGTAGTGGAATATAATTGGTTTGAGATGATTTTACAATATGTTAGGATTGGTTAGTTAAATTTCGGTGAAATAATTGGTTACGGTCTAGCTGTGAATATTACTATATAAATTGGGGTCAAACAGGAAGTGGGGGGAAGGGAAACTGGAATCATGCTTGCTGGACATTAACCCCAATAAACATCCCATTGTCTGCACTATGGACGTCTGCTCTTTTGCGGCTTGCTGTTTGTGTGACAAGAACCAGGGAAGTGGGAGGGTGGAGGGAACACCCTCTAACAGCTCCCCTCCACCCCCCACTGGGCCCTAGCAAGGTGTCTGCATTCGGCTGTCCACATCCGTGGGCTGGCGGGCGGGGCCCCCATCGGAGAGCAGGGCCTGAGGCAGCCATGTCCAGCTGACTCCACCGTGCAAGGTCCCAGGAGCAGAGACGCCAGCTGGGACTCTGCACTCGAGCCCCTCCTGGCTGGGGAAAGCGAACAGAGCCCCCTGGGAGTGGGAGGCGTGAGATTCTCAGCCATGCCTTTGTTGCAGGAAACCCACTCCTCAGCCCCAGGCCACGTTACAGGCCAGCCAACGCTACGGAAACCCTCGCTCTGTGCTAGAGAACACACAAACCACAGCCCGGCCTGCAACCTGCCTTCCTCTCTTGTCATTTGCCTGGAAGCCTCAGGCGTGGGAACACTTTTCAGCTCAACGTGAGCTCCCGGACCCAACAGGGCTTCTGCCATGCTGGGATGCCTCAACAGGGGCATCTTGATTAGCAGCAGGGAGGTGATTTTCCCTCTGGATCTGGCCCTGGTGCAACCACAGCTGGGATGCTGTGTCCGGTTCTGGCGCCCACCCTTCGAGAAGGATGTTGAGCAGCTGGAGAGGGGTCAGAGAAGAGCCACGAGGAGGATTAACGGACTGGCCCCCGGGCTTGGCAGAGAGAGACTCCAGGAGCTCAGTCAATCAGAGGACACGTCTACACGGGGAAAGCCTGCACCGATGCAGCTGCGGCGATGTAACGGCTCGGTGAAGACACTGTCTGTGCTGACGGGAGAGCTTCTCCCCTTGGCGTCGTTAATCCACCCCCCCGAGAGGCGGGAGCGGTGCTGACGGGAGAAGCGCTGTCTACACCGGGCGTTCGGTCGGTGTAACAGCGTCACCCGGGGCCGGGGGGGGGTGTTTCCACATCCCCGAGCGACGTAGTTGCACCATTATATGTTGCCTAGTGTAGACCCAGCGAAAGGGAAGGGGACGGGGTGACGCGATTACCAGTTTCTGACCAGCACCTGACTTGCACGTGTGCTGCCATCTGCTGGCCTGGTGCTTTTACTGCCATCGTCAGCCCTGCGCCTTTGGATACCAGTCTGTAGCAGTGGGTCCCAACCAGGGGTACGTGTACCACCGGGAGTACGCAGGGGTCTTCCGTGGGGTACATCAGCTCACCTAGATATTTGCCCAGTTTTACCACAGGCTACATAAAAAGCACTAGTGAAGTCAGTAGAAACTAAAATTTCGAACAATGACTTGTTTATACTGCTCTACATACTGTCCACTGAAATGTAAGTACATTTATGTTCCAATTTATTTATTTTATAACTATATGCTAAAATGAGAAAGTAAACTATTTATCAGTCCTCGTGTCCTGTGACACTGGTATTTTCATGTCTGATTTTGTACAGAAGTAGTTTTTAAGTGATGAGACACTTGGGGTACACAAGACCAATGAGAGTCCTGAAAGGGGAACAGTAGTCTGGAAAGATTGGGAGCCACTGGTCTCTTGGGTCTTTTCCCACTGAGATGTGGCCACCTCTGGGTTGGGGCATGGGGGATGTTTATACAAGTGACAGGGAGGAATTTGGGAAGGGGGACTTCTGTGGGGAGTGGCGGGGGTCAGGTTTCCAGGAACAATTTGTATAGTGGGGGTGCTGAGAGCCACTGAATCAAACTTTAAACCCTGTATATGATGCGAACCACTTCAATCCAGGGGCTGCAGCACCGATGGGTGGGGCGGGGTGGGATATGGGGAGGCTCCTGTGGGGAGTGGGGTGGTCGCACAGAGGTACCTGGGGTAGGAGGTGGGGAGACAGAAACAGATATGAGCTGGCATTATGCAGATCACCCTAACATTGAAGCTGGAAGGTTTAATCTCAATGCTTTATCTGTCCTGGGGGAATCAGTCACGGCATCTCAGAATTGATTCCCCCAACACACTCACACCATCTGCAGCTCCCCCTCCCCACGGACTCTGTCTGGGGGCAGGAAGCTGTCCTCTCGGGGAGGGAGAGAAGGGGGGGTCTCATCGGGGTGGGGGATGCTCACTAATCTGAGTCTGCAAAGCCTCTGAGGCAGCCAGCTCCGTGCAAGCCTCAAGCACCTCGGCTCAGCTTTGGAGCCTCTCGTGACGAAGGGTCTGAGATCCCGTCTGCAGAGACAGTCACCCACATCCGGGGCAGCCACAGCCCCAGAGGAGGAGCTGAGCTGCAGCCGCATTGTTGTGGAAATTCAGCCTGTTCACACCTGGACTCACACTAGTCTGCAAACCCTCCAAGGTGGCCAGCTTGGTGTAAGCCTCAAACAGCCCGGCTCAGCTCTGGGGTCTCTCATGAAGTAGGGCCGGAGATCCCATCTGCAGAGACGATTACCCACATCCAGGGCAGCCCAAGAGCAGGAGCTGACCTACGGCCGCATCATTGGAAAAATTCAGCAAAATTCACACCCGGATATGCTGGGTTGGGAGTGATTTGTGGGTGGGCTGCCATTCACCTCTGGTCCTCCTTGAACATCCTGGAGAGAGCTTTGCTGGAGGGGGTGGATCATGAATCTCTCACTTAGTTAGCTGTGAGCCACACAATGGATGTGTGGCTCACGCTGATGGATTTCTTGGGCGCTGGAGAGCAGGCAGCGACATAGTGAAGGGCGAAACCTGCGTGAATTTTGGCCAGGAATAACAGGATTCATTGAGACACTGGTATAAAAAACCACTGTGACGAGGTTCCCAGCGTGCACACTATACTGTGGGACCGCTGAGCCCTCTGTCCCACCAACCTGCCGTATCCCTCTCACACTGTGATTCTGTGTCAAGTTAAAACCTCTGGCAGGCCCTGCACTTCCACAGCCATCCCCAAGCAGGGACACACCCAGCTGAGTTCCACGAATGACCTCCCAGCCACTCATGAACCATCAACAGGGAGGCTCCAGTCAATTCCTCCTGGCTCTCTGGCCTTGCAGCCCATAAATGTACCATCCTGCATTGGTCAGAAGCCTGGCCAGTGTAAGTTCATTGCCCAGTCTGTGCCTCCTTCCATGTGGAGAGCACAAACTCCAGCCTCTGTCCACCGAGCTAAGATTTCCCAAGCACTTCAACCACACACACAGTTTTAGGTAGAATATAAAACAGGTTTATTAACTACAGACAGATTGAAAGTGATTATACGCCGCGATTATAAAGATCACAATTGGTCACCCAAGAAGTAAAAGGAAATTCGCCATCTGAGTTCTACAAACTAAACAGGATTTGAATTAAGCTGTGTCTCACCCTGGCAGATGGGACAAGCAAGTGACACATCCTCAGTGAACAGGCTGGGCTTGTCTTCCAGCCGGATACCAAAGTTCATATTGATATGACCGTGGTGAATATGGGGGCTCCAGGGTGCTGTTTTGAGGTACAGAGTGCCACATCCACACATTTTATTTAAAGTCCCCAGTATTTTGAACACCTCCTCACTCCATTGGTTTCAGTAATAGAGCTAGATATTTCTGGTTTGCTGATACTTTTGGTGGAGTTTTGTAGCATTGCCGACTCTTACAATTTCATTGCGACATTCGCCATGTTTGTCATTTTCCTGCAAGCCCCAGATCCCGGAACCAGATGATTAGGTGGGAATTTGAGCTTTCGCTTCTTATTTTTTTGAGGTAAATTTCCAGCTTTCGTTTTTGCAGAGAAAAGTCTGACATGCCCTCTCCCCCCCCGCCAAAAAAAAAAAAAACCATACAGCAAAAAAGAGGAACCCAAATGTCTTTCTTTCCAAACCAATCTCATTATGTGTTAGGGGGTGGCTCATGGGGTTTGAAGGCTCGGGTTTGACAGTGAAGACACAGGGCTAGATTTTTAAAAGTGGCTAAGGGAGTTAGCTGCCAAATTCCCATTGAAGTTAGGAGTGAAGCACCTAACTCACATAGGTGCTTTTGAAAATCTCACCAGTAGAAGGTTAAGTTGATTCAATTACATCATGCAATGCCAGACAGCTAAAAAGTGACATTTTAGTTCTTATATAAAAATGCTAGAAGTTTAAATAATAAGATGGGTGAACTTGAGTGCCACGTATTAAATGAGGACATCGACATAACAGACATCGCAGAAACTTGGTGGAATAAGGATAATCAATGATGTAATGGTGTAATTGAGGATAATCAATGAGTAATACCAGGGTACAAAATATATTGGAAGGACAGAACAGGACGTGCTGGTGCGGGAGCGGCACTATATGTGAAAGAAAGCGTAGAGTCGAAGTAAAAATCTGAAATGAACCAAACTGTATCATAGAACCTCAATGGAGAATAATTCCATGCCAAAATAATACAGAGTAGGGATATATTACTGCATATAAGGGTGAATATAACTGAACCGCTTGGTAATAGTGAGAATAATATAATGGACTTCAACACCCCCGTGGCAGAGGAAACATCACAACAGCCCACCACGGTAGCATTTAATTTCAGAAAAGAAAACTGCACAAAGACGAAGAAGTTAGTAAAAAAGAAATGAAAAGGTCCAGTGCCAAAAGTGAAATCCCTGTAAGCTGCATGGAAACTTTTAAAAGACACCATTATAGAGGCTCAACTTAAATGTATCCCCCAAATTAATAAACATAGTAAGAGAACCAAAGAAGTGCCACCATGGGTAAACAGCAAACTAGAGAAGCTTTGAGAGGCAAAAAGGCTTCCTTTAAAAAGTGGAAGTTAAATCCTATTGAGGAAAATAGAAAGGAGTATGAACTCTGGGAAATGAAGTGTAAAACTATAAATAGGAAGACCAAAAAAGAATTTGAAGAATAGCTAGCCAAAGATGCAAAAAGTAATCTGAATTTTTTTTAAGTTTATCAGAAGCAAGAAGTTCCCTCACCAAAGACTCTTAAGCAAAGTAAGCTGTTGTGAGATTAGGGGGAAAGTCCTCTCCTGGATCAATAACTGGTTAAATGATAGGAAACAAGGGTAGGAACCAATGGACAGTTTTCAGAATGGAGAGAGGTAAATAGCGGTGTCCCCCAGGGGTCTGTACTGGGACCAGTACTCTTCAGTTATTCATAAATGATCTGGAAAAAGGGGTCAACGGTGAGGTTGCATCATTTTCAGATGATACAAAACTACTCAAGATTGTTAAGTCCAAAGCTGACTGTGAAGAGCTACAAAGGGTTCTCACACAACTGGGTAACTGGGCAACAAAATGGCAGGTGAAATTCCGTGTTGATAAATGCAAAGTAATGCACATTGGAAACCATAATCCCTACTATACATAGAATCATAGAATCATAGAATATCAGGGTTGGAAGGGACCTCAGGAGGTCATCTAGTCCAACCCCTGCTCAAAGCAGGACCGATCCCCAATTAAATCATATACAATGATGGAGTCTAAATAGCTGTTACCACTCAAGAAGGTCAGGCTTGACAAAGGCTTTTTAAGGTCAGGCTTGACAAAGCCCTGGTTGGGATGATTTAACTGGGAATTGGTCCTGCTTTGAGCAGGGGGTTGGACTAGATGACCTTCTGGGGTCCCTTCCAACCCTGATATGCTATGATTCTATGATTCTAAGAAAGAGATCTTGGAGTCATTGTGGACAGTTCTCTGAAAACATCCACTCAATCTGCAGCGGCCATCAAAAAAGCGACTAGAATGTTGGGAATCATTAAGAAAGGGACAGATAAGATTGAAAACATCATATTGCCTCTATATTAATCCATCAAAAAAAAAGAGATATTGGAATTGGAAAAGGCTCAGAAAAGGGCAGCAAAACTTATTAGGGGTATGGGACGGCTTCCATAGGAGGAGAGATTAAGAAGACTGGGACTTTTCAGCTTAGAAAAGAGACAACTACGGGGCGATATGTTAGAGCTCTAAAAAATCCTGACTGGTGTGGAGAAAGTAAATAAGGAAGTGTTATTTACTCCTTCCCATAACACAAGAGCTAGGGGTCACCAAATGAAATTAATAGCCAGCGGTTTTATAGAAATAAAAGGACTTATATAAACTAATAAAAGGAAATATTTGTTCACACAACGAACAGCCAGCCTGGGAAACTCTTTGTCAGGGTTATATTATGTTATATTCTCATTGACTCTCAGCGAGATTCACCCCTTCACCTTCTCTTTGTTAAGCTAAATAGACTGCGCTCCTGGAGTCTCTCACTGTAAGGCAGGTTTTCTAATCCAGTCATCATTCTCGTGGCTCTTCTAAGAATAAGGCCAAAAAATTCACTTGCTAAAAAAAAGAATTTGGGGATCAAGAGGAAGTTACATGTCCCAGCGAACAGAATTCTTTCTCCATGCAAATATCGACAATTCCATCCATTTCACGATTCAGCCAGCTCCGGCCCCGAGTTGTCGGTTGTTTGGGAGTTGCGTCCACATTGCCGGTACCTCAGAAACTCTTCCTCCATGGTGAGGTAGAAGATGGGGTTCAGGCAACTGTTGAAATACGTCAGGACACAAGCAAAAGCACTTCCCATGCCCAGAATAGGCAGAGGGTACTTAGCTGAGATCTGCAGGAAGGAGAAGACGTGATACGGCAGCCAGCAGAGGAAAAAGGCTGGGATCAAGCCAAGAAGGATCTTGAGTGGCTTGGTGGATTGGATCAGCCTGTTCCTTCTCGTCCTGGCAGCTAGAACGATGTAGAATGTTGGGATCAAGATCAAGGCTAATGGGATCAGAAACCCAACCAGGAACTGGATCGTAATGGCGGCCTTCACCCTCCCTTCATCTGGATGGAAATGCATTCTGGTTCTGGAACGTGAGAAGAGGAATTCCAATAGATCACTGTACCGCACGCTAAACCCAAGAGACAGGGCCCACATGCCGAAAACCATAAGGAAAGCCAGTTGGGGTGTGCGGTGGTTCCAGGCCCACTCAGGGCGTGCCACGAGGATGCAGCGATCGACACTAAGGGCCGTGAGGAGGAAGGCACTGGAGAACATGTGGAAGGAGGAGATGGTGTTGCTCAGACTCTTAGCCCAGTCTAAGTCCAGGATGAAAATGGAAATGAATCTGAGAGGCAGGAAGACGATAAAGATGAAATCGGTCATGGCCCGGTTCCAGAACCACACGGCACTGGTCGTACTCTCCACATGGCAGCAAGCGATGAAGAAGACGTAGCCGTTCAAGAGCACCCCAGCAAGGAAGGCCACAGCACACAGCACCAGGAAGAGAACTAAGAAGAACCCCATTCTTGGAAGAGGTGCAGTCACAATATCCCCTCCTCCTCCTCAGGGATCAGCTGGGACAGCGCAGACGTTGTACTGAGTAAAGGAAGGAAGAGCAATGAGCAAAGGGCTCATGGACAGAAAGAATCAGCTGCAGAGTTTATAATTTCCTTAGAGTTTATAAACTCCCCAGATCCTGAGCTGAACTAAGATAGGATCAAATCCTTGTAGGCCAATGGCACCAATGGTTTGAAGATCTTTGGAGCATAGAGCCAGAGGCTTAGAAGGGGACCGCAAGGGTCATATCTTCTAACCCCCTGACAAGATACAGGACTTGTGTCTATTCTCTCCCGCAATGTTTTTTGTTTTGCCCCGACCTCTGACAACAGGCCCCGTAAATAATTTCAACTGGTTCTAACAGGAGCAGATGAGGGGACAGGATGTGGGCTGCCGGAAGGGGGGTGATCCAGGGGACAGTGGTGTGGGGGGTAGGACAGGAGATCCAGTGAGGAAGCTGGAGGGTTTACCTCATTTTCTTACCCGTGACTTGGGGGGATGCAACGTCTCAGAGTCGACCCCCGTCCAAGGTCCCCAACGCGATGCTTGCAGCTCTCCCAGACTGGCTCAGCCCGGAGGAGGAAGCTGTTCATGTGGGGGTGTATATGGGGTGGGGAGAACAACGAGTGGCAACCACAGGATGTGGCTGGGTCTGAATACTTCTGCAAAATCTGGAAGGCCTCTGGCACCCACAGCTACATGCAGATGTTATGCAAACCATAAGGTCCTGTTAGAATATTCATATTCAGGCCTGCCTGCAAAGGCCTATACTTTAGGAACTTAGGTGTATTTTTACCACTTAGCTAGTTACAGAGGTATAAAAACAAACAATCAAAATTACAGTCCACCTGTATGTGGGACTTGTCTCTCTAGAATAATTCATTAATGATCTGGAGGATGGCGTGGATTGCACCCTCAGCCAGTTTACAGATTACACTAAATTGGGAGGAGTGATAGATAGGCTGGAGGGTAGGGACAGGATACAGAGGGACCTAGACAAATTAGAGGATTTTGCCAAAAGCAATCCAATGAGGTTTAACAAGGACAAGTGCAGAGTCCTCTACTTCGGACGGAAGAATCCCATGCACTGCTACAGACTAGGGACCGAATGGCTCGGCAGCAGTTCTGCAGAAAAGGACCTAGGGGTTACAGTGGATGGGAAGCTGGATATGAGTCAGCAGTGTGCCCTTGTTGCCAAGAAGGCCAACGGCATTTTGGGATGTATAAGTAGGGGCATTGTCAGCAGATCGAGGGACGTGATCCTACCCCTCTATTCGGCATTGGTGAGGCCTCATCTGGAGTACTGTGTCCAGTTTTGGGCCCCACACTACAAGAAGGATGTGGAAAAATTGGAAAGCATCCAGTGGAGGGCAACAAAAATGATTAGGGGACTGGAATACATGATTTATGAGGAGAGGCTGAGGGAACTGAGATTGTTTAGTCTGCAGAAGAGAAGAATGAGGAGGGATTTGATAGCTGCTTTCAACTACCTGAAGAGGGGTTCCAAAGAGGATGGACCTAGACTATTCTCAGTGGTAGGAGATGACAGAACGAGGAGTAATGGTCTGAAGTTACAGTGTGGGAGGTTTAGGTTGGATATTAGGAAAAACTTTTTAACTAGGAGGCTGGTGAAGCACTGGAATGCGTTACCTGGGGAGGTGGTAAAATCTTCCTTAAAGGTTTTTAAGGTCAGGCTTGACAAAGCCCTGGCTGGGATGATTTAGTTGGGGTTGGTCCTGCTTTGAGCAGGGGGTTGGACTAGATACTTCCTAAGGTCTCTTCCAACCCTGATATGCTATGATTCTGTGACAGTCTGAGACCTTGTTCTTAGGCTAAGGCCTTTGGCTAAGCAGCAGGGGTAGCCATAAGCTGGGAAGAGAATGGTCATGTCCTCCAATCCCAAACCAGTCACATTGAAATAAGGGTGTATTGGGCTGTTAGGAAGACAATCCTGTCCTGATAGTGCCCATCACCACCACATCAAGATGGTTAAAGAAAACTTAGTTTGACAGCATCCTGTCTGGCAAGAAATAACTTCTCAGTGGTTGTTGCTATGAAACCCTCATTTCTGCATGTTTTATCTTTATGGCCCCCACTTTTCTATTGGTCGGTCGGTGTAACAGCGTCACCCGGGGCCGGGGGGGGGGTGTTTCCACATCCCCGAGCGACGTAGTTGCACCATTATATGTTGCCTAGTGTAGACCCAGCGAAAGGGAAGGGGACGGGGTGACGCGATTACCAGTTTCTGACCAGCACCTGACTTGCACGTGTGCTGCCATCTGCTGGCCTGGTGCTTTTACTGCCATCGTCAGCCCTGCGCCTTTGGATACCAGTCTGTAGCAGTGGGTCCCAACCAGGGGTACGTGTACCACCGGGAGTACGCAGGGGTCTTCCGTGGGGTACATCAGCTCACCTAGATATTTGCCCAGTTTTACCACAGGCTACATAAAAAGCACTAGTGAAGTCAGTAGAAACTAAAATTTCGAACAATGACTTGTTTATACTGCTCTACATACTGTCCACTGAAATGTAAGTACATTTATGTTCCAATTTATTTATTTTATAACTATATGCTAAAATGAGAAAGTAAACTATTTATCAGTCCTCGTGTCCTGTGACACTGGTATTTTCATGTCTGATTTTGTACAGAAGTAGTTTTTAAGTGATGAGACACTTGGGGTACACAAGACCAATGAGAGTCCTGAAAGGGGAACAGTAGACTGGAAAGATTGGGAGCCACTGGTCTGTTGGGTCTTTTCCCACTGAGATGTGGCCACCTCTGGGTTGGGGCATGGGGGATGTTTATACAAGTGACAGGGAGGAATTTGGGAAGGGGGACTTCTGTGGGGAGTGGGGGGGGGGTCAGGTTTCCAGGAACAATTTGTATAGTGGGAGTGCTGAGAGCCACTGAATCAAACTTTAAACCCTGTATATGATGGGAATCACTTCAATTCAGGGGCTGTAGCACCGATGGGTGGGGCGGGGTGGGATATGGGGAGGCTCCTGTGAGGAGTGGGGTGGTTGCAGGGAGGTACCTGGGGTAGGAGGTGGGGGGACAGAAACAGATATGGGCTGGCATTGTGGATATCACCCTAGCATTGAAGCTGGAAGGTTTAATCTCACTGTTTTATCTATGTCCTGGGGGAATCAGTCACGGCATCTCAGAATTGATTCCCCCAACACACTCACACCATCTGCAGCTCCCCCTCCCCACGGACTCTGTCTGGGGGCAGGAAGCTGTCCTCTCGGGGAGGGAGAGAAGGGTGCTCTCATCGGGGCTGGGGGATGCTCACTAATCTGAGTCTGCAAAGCCTCCAAGGCAGCCAGCTCCGTGCAAGCCTCAAGCACCTCAGCTCAGCTCTGGGGCCTCTCGTGACGAAGGGTCTGAGATCCCGTCTGCAGAGACGGTCGCCCACATCCGGGGCAACCACAGCCCCAGAGCAGGAGCTGAGCTGCAGCCTCATTGTTGCAGAAATTCAGCCCGTTCACACCTGGACACACACCAGACTCAGCTTGGGTCAGGAGTGATTCGTGCGTGGGCCCCACTGCCCTTCACCCCTGGTCAGCCCATGAACGTCCTGGAGAGACCCTGCCTGGTGGCGAGTGGATCGTGAATCTCTCGTGTCCTTGGCTGTGAGCCACACAACATAGAGTCTGCTCCACGAGTGGCTGGAGGATTGGTTGGACGCTGGAGAACAGCCAGCGACATAGCGAAGGGCGAAAGCTGCATGAATTTTGGCCTGGACTATCAGGATTCATTGAGACGCTGGTTTAAAAAGCCACGGTGACAGGATTCCTGGCATGCAGTATGGACTGTGGGACTTCTGAGTCCTCTGTCCCACCAACCTGGGTTGTCCTTCTCACACTGTGGTGCTGTGTCAAGCAACAAACCTCTGGCAGGCCCTGCACTTACACAGCCATTCCCAGACAGGGACACACCCAGCTGAGTTCCACGAATGACCTCCCAGCCACTCATGAACCATCAATAGGGAGGCTCCAGTCAATTCCCCCCGGCTCCCTGGCTTTGCAGCCCAGAACTGTATCGTCCTGCCCTGGTCAGAAGCCTGGCCAGTGTATGTTCATTGCCCAGTCGGTGCCTCCCCCGACGTGGAGAGCACAAACACCAGCCTCTGTCAACCGAGCTGAGATTTCCGAAGCACTTCAACCAAATACACAGTTCTAGGTGGAATATAAAAAAGGTTTATTAACTACAGACAGATATTATGTGATTAAAAGCAGCGAGCGTAGAGACCACAGTAGGTTACCTAAGAAATAAAAGTAAATTCCCAATCTGAGATAATAAACTAGACAGGATTTGAATCAAGCCGTGTCTCACCCTGGCAGATGGCACGAGCAGGTGACAGTTCCTCAGGACTAGGGTAACCAGAGGTCCCGTTTTTAAAGGGACAGTCCCATTTTTGGGGACTTTTTCTTATATAAGTGCCTATTACCCCCCCCCACCCCCGTCCCGTTTTTTACTGTTGCTATCTGGTCACCCTACTCAATACACAGGCTGGGCTTGTCTTCCACCCTGATACCAAACCTTCCTCAGTCAAAGTCTTTGTCCTCTAGACGTGTGTCCAGGTGTTGAGTTGTGAGGGGAGTGAGGCCAAGTGGTGATGTCACTTTCCCTCTTTTGTAGTTTCTTCCAGCTTGATGGAAAGATCTTTTTCGATGACATGGTTCAGACAGTCTCCATTGTCTATGTGTTCTCTCTGAGAAACCTCCATAGTGGATTCTTAGATGGGTGCTGACGAGCGATTAACACTGTCTGGCTCCTCCATTGTTGTATCTGAAAGGCTGGTTGTGGGTGTTCCCAACATCACAACTTATTTCAGTAACACACACATAGCAAAATTCACAACCTCACATACAGTGACAGCACATACAATTCAATGGGATATTAATAATCAACACACCAAGATTTTTTTAATGATACCTCACAAGGCAGACTTTGTTCATATGGCTATGCCGTGGTGAATATGGGGGTTCCAGGGTGCTCTTTTGAGGTACAGCGTGCCACAGCCACACATTTTATTTAAAATCCCCAATATTTTAAACACATCCTCACTCCATTGGTTTCCGAACAGAGTGAATATTTCTGGTTTTCCAAAACTTTCGGTGGAGTTTTGTAGTGTCAACGACTCTTACAATTTGGTTGCGGCGTTTTCCATGCTTGTCCTTTTCCTCCAAGCCCCACATCCTGGAATCAGACGATCAGGCGGAAATTTCAGCTTTTTTTTTTCTTTTCTTTTTTTTAAGTTAAGTTTGCAGCCTTCGTTGTTACAGAGAAAAGCCTGAAATGTCTTTCTTTTCAAACCAATCTCATGATGTTTCAGGGGGTGGCTCATGAGGTTTGAAGGCTTTGGCTCGGCAATGAAGAGGCAGGACTAGACTTTTAAAAGTGGTTAAGGGAGTTAGATGCCAAATTCCCTTTGAAGTTAGGAGTTAAGCACCTTTTCAAAACCTCACCTATAGAAGCCTAAGTCAATTTAATTACACCCTGTAATGGCAGACAGTTAAAAAGTGACATTTAAGTTCTTATATAAAAATGCTAG